CCACTTTTTTTTAAGATGGTGTTCTCCCCCAAAGGTTTATAACATTGTTAGATAGTTCATTATTCTTGGGACATTTGTGGACCATTAAAATTAAATATGATACTTCTAATATCACTAAAACTGCTTTAAATTTATGTGTTTGAAACTTTTCTAATATATTCAAATAAACAATTCTAATATTCAAATTTTTCATTCATTATTTTGTACCAGACATTTATGGAATATACCAATGTTCTGGGAAGAGGGTCAGGGTCTCATGTTTAAGAGATATGAAACACAGTCCTATACTCAAGGAGCTTACATAGTCTCCTAAGGAGGGCAAAACTTTCTCATGTAATATGGTTTTCAGCATTTGGCTTTTCAATGCCCTTCTTAAAATGTAAAGTGAACACAATATTCTAGATGTGATCTGATTACTGTGGAATATGGTAGAAATTTCCCTCTTAAGTCTTCTAAATTAACACGCCTTTTTTCTCTTTCTTTAAAAATAGCTTCTTGTTCTTTTTAGAAACATGCTATTGTTGGAACCAATCAACAATTTCAGGTCTTTCTCACATGAACTCTGCTCAAAGCAAGTGTTCCCTACCTAACACTTCTATATGTAAATTTTTTTAATCTAAATTCAAAACTTCATAGTACATTTAAGTTTTCATATTTTATTGTTACTGTTGTTTTAACGTATTTTTCCATGAGTGCAGAATTCTCTTTGATCCTTTCAACTTCCAACTAACATGATGAATAGTTATCTTTCCCAATACTGTCATTTGTGTCAAGTCCCTATTCTATTCCCTTGACCAGGTCCACAGCATTTGATAGCAAAGAGAACAGTAAGACAGTGAGTAGCCTTGTTGGTGAGTGTGAAGTTGCTTCAGTCATGTCCAACTTGGTGCCACTCTATGGACTGTAGACATGCAGATGACACCACCCTCACTGCAGAAAGTGAAGAAGAACTAAAGAGCCTCTTGATGAAAGTGAAAGAGGAGAGTGAAAAAGTTGGCTTAAAGCTCAACATTCAGAAAACTAAGATCATGGCATCCGGTCNACTGAACTGATGGACTGTAGCCCACCAGGCTCCTCTGGTGGATGGAGTCCATGGGATTCTCCAGGCAAGAATACTGGAGTGGGCTGCCATTCCCCCCTTGCAGGGGATCTTCCTGACCCGGGGATCAAACCTATGTCTCCTGCAATGGCAGGTGGGTTCTTTACCTTAGCTCCACCTGGGAAGCCTAGTGAGTTGCCTTAATTGCTATTAATTCTAGGTAAATCAAGAGAATGACAAAGAGAATCAATCGTGAGAATGACTTTTGCTTTTTATACTCAAGTTTCCACCATAAAATGATGTATAAAGACACAACAGATAAGAAATCTTTGGTTTATTTTTACAGGTTGTATCCACATATCCAGACTGGGAGAAAACAGATCAAGAGTACCTAAGAAATTCCTAGCTAGCAGACTAGGAACACTCTCAAAGGGTGTGAAATCACCCTTGGTCTGCTCTAAGTCTTTCCAATACATATCGTCCCTAGACCTTCTCCTGAAGTATAGCTTTTTGGATCATATGCAGTTAAACTGTGATTTCTATACTTTGCATTAATACCGTATGAGGAGTAGGTCCCAAACTTGGGGCAACTCAGAAAGATCCTGGCACACTTCAGTCTTAGCCAGTGCCCCACCAATGATGACTAAGCAGCTTTCCTTGCTTACTCATTATGCTGATCCAAGAATGCTCCTAAAAACTTTATATTTCTTCCTATGTATCTTATCTGCTTCATCTATGGACTGGAACATATTCTCTTGAATTTATTGGCTTACAGTATATTCATATTAACAAAATATAACTAACTATATAATTATTTCCCTATACCAAATATATTTTAAGTAAATATATTCTATATGCTGCTGCTGCTAAGTTGCGCCAGTCTTCTCCGACTGTGCGACTCCATAGACGGCAGTCCACCAGGCTCCCCCATCCCTGGGATTTTCAGGCAAGAACACTGGAGTGGGTTGCCATTTCCTTCTCCAATTATTCTATATACTTAGCATTTAAAAATTTAATGTATAAATTCCATTTAGTCTAACACAATATCTGTCCCTTCTACCAGTTTGCCCATAAATATCAAAATTTCATAATCAAGCCATTTATTTCCTGGTTGATAAAAATTTTAAATGGACTAAGGAAAAAAATGAACCCTTTATCACCTTCTTAGAGTTCTATCTCTAGAAATGGACACTTATGTAGCAATCAACAATAAATCTTTTTGAATTGCTGGGGTCTCTGTTAGGTTTCTAGTAAGCCCTTTCTTATCTACTTGGGATTCTGAACAACATGGAAAATAAAAGGTGAAGATAAAGGATATAATATTTTCTTTATTAATGATGCTATACATGTCAAATAAATTTACAAATTAAGTAAGTCCCTCCACTTCCTTAAGGCTAAAACAATCAATGGGGCAACCCAACAAACAAGGTTGCAGATCATTGTGCTTCAGTTAGGGTCAAGGACTTAAGATGCAACTTACTATGCAGATGCAACTTTTCTTAAGCAGGTCAGCTGAGGCAGTGAGTTAATTCTACCAAAAAGAAAAAATCTTTATATATTGTGGGGCAGAATATTACTATCTCTTATTAAACAACAAGTAAAGTTAAACTAACAAGTCAAGTTAGATGTGTATATATATATGTGTGTGTGTGTGTATATATATATACATATATATAAAATAGACCTCAAGTAAGCTTTAAATAGTTAGTGTTAGCCCTAGGTAGCCAGTGCTATCTGCTGCTGCTGCTGCTGCTGCTGAGTCACTTCAGTGTGTCCGACCCTGTGCGACTCTATGGACTGCAGCTCGCCAGGCTCCTCTGTCCATGGGATGTCTAGGCAAAAATACTGGAGTGGGTTGCCATGCCCTCCTCCAGGGGAGTCTTCCCAACCCAGAGATCGAACCCAGGTCTCCCACATTGTAGGCAGATTCTTTACTGCTAAGCCACCAGGGAAGCCCAGTGCTAGCTATTTTGCCTAAAATTCCATTGTGCACTTCTTTCCTAACCATCTCATATGAAACGTTAATCAATATCTCACCTCTGCACAGAGACACACCAACATACACTGCCACTACCCCTCTTCTCTGCATTATTTTTTCCACAGTATTCCTTACCATCTGTCATGCTGTGTGTTTTGTTTATTGTTTGTTTATAGTCTTTCTCTCCATTGAGAATACAACATATTTTTATCTATGTTAAAATCTCAGCATTTAGAAAGTGTCTAGTACATGACAGATGATCAATAAATATTTGTGGAACTGAAGAATTAATTTAGGAGTGAGAAGGGACCCATGGATGAACTTAGCATCATGAGGTTTCAATGCAGGATCAAGGTCATTCTCCACTATGTGGTTTCAGGTTCTTTCGGAATCGGCTATAAACACAGGAGAGACAAATTTTTCCTAAGAAGCAATACCATAAAGATACGTGGTGATAACAACTGTAGCAAAATAAGATGGAAAGGCCTGCTCATGTCCATTAAGCATGTGGGGTACTTGCTGAATACAGTTGCTCTGAATTTAGTACTTAGGGGAGTGGAAACAAAGAGGCTATGAGTATAGATAAGGTCAGGAAAAGACAGAAAGTGAAGAAGAACTAAAGAGCCTCTTGATGAGGGTGAAGGAGGAGAGTGAAAGAGGCAGATTAAGACTAAATATTGAAAAAAACTAAGATCACGGCACCTGGCCCTATTATTGTATGGGGAAAGAAGGGGAAAAGATGGATGTAGGAACAGGTTTCTTCTTGTGCTGCAGACGGTGACTGCAGCCATGAAATCAGAAGACGACTGCTTCTTGGAAGGAAAGCAGTGACAAACTTAGACAGTGTGTTGAAAAGTAGAGACATTACTCTGCCTATAAAGGTCTGTATAGTCAAGGCTATGGTCTTCACAGCAGTTACGTACAGCTGTGAGAGATGGACCATAAAGAAGGCTGAACACCAAAGAACTGATGCCTTTGAACTGATGCCTGTGGTGCTGGAGAAGACTCCTGAGAGCCCCTTGGACAGCAAGATCAAGCCAGTCAATCTTAAGGGAGATCAACCCTGAATATTCACCGGAAGGATTGATGCTAAAGCTGAAGCTCCACTATTTGGTCATCTGATGTGAACAGACAACTCACTGAAAAGGTCCCTGATGCTGGGAAAGATTGAGGGCAGAAGGAGAAGAGGGCGTCAGAAGATGAGATGGCTGGACGGCATCACCAATGTAACGAACATGAACTTGGGCAAACTCCAAGAGATGATGAGGGACAGGCCGGACTGGTGTGCTGCAGCCCATGGGGTTGCAAAAAGTCAGACACGACTGGGCAACTGATCAACAACAACAACAACAACGTCAGGGGAGAAAAAGGCATCTGAGTAAGAAAGGCATCTCAGTAAAGTGTGCTTCTGGCTGATACCATTTCTAAAATTTGCAAGGGCAACACTGTCTCTCTTAGAGATAAGTTATGCATAATACCAAAATTAATTATTTACTTAGAGATTTCTAGCACTTGGACTTCAACTCCTAGGTCATGGATTTTGGACAATGTGTATAGACTGATTTACTTCAGATACCACTGAGACTCTNGGGTATATAATAAATGCCATAGTTGACAATGGGAGGAGGAGTGACTTATTCTATTAATGAATTAGGATTGTTCAACTCAGGTCTGCCTTTCTTATTTTTAGGAAAAACCTATCAGTTCTACTCTGATCATTCATCTTACAACTTCTTATCCGGAATGCTCCCTACATGCAAACTATGCTCTATTCTAGCATTACCTACTGCAGGTAACTATGCTAATTCTGGAGTTCATTATGTTTAGACACAACCATTTAATTGTTTAGTTCATGTCTATTTAGAAGATAAGTGGAGAAGAGAGTGCTAGTTACTGCCCCCTCCTCAGAAACTATCAACAATAACTATAGTATTACCACTTTTCTGTTTTGATTTCAAGAGAATATCAGATATTGTTAAATACCTTGCTGAAGTCAAGACGCATTGATACAGTGTATCTGTAGCATATCATAGATGTATCAGTCAAGTTAACCTAACAAAAAAGCAAGAAGTGCAGTTCAGTTCAGTCGCTCAGTTGTGTCCGACTCTTTGCGACCCCATGAATTGCAGCATGTCAGGCCTCCCTGTCCATCACCAACTCCCGGAGTCTACCCAAACCCATGTCCATCGAGTCAGTGATGCCATCCAGCCATCTCATCCTCTGTCCTCCTCTATATGCTTAGCACATGTATTCATTTTCCTCACTTTTATATACTCTAAAATGATATAATGGGTCTCCCCTCTCTCTCAGGACTTATACTCTCTCAATCTGGACCTCCACTATTCCCTCAGGCTTCTGAGAGTTGAAGTTGTCAGCAAAGCAAGTCCAGAACTGATCCTATCTTCCGCTTTCAGCAGAACGTGCCTTTGTGCAGATGTCCAGACGGGTTTCTATTCCCCTACAACTCCTCTCTCTTGACTCAGTGCCAGTTTTGTAATCTGTCTCGGGGCAAAGACAATTTATCATAAGTCCTGCAATTATGACTGCACACACTTTCAGCTCAAGGGATACACTTGGAATTAATTCCAGTTCAGTACTCATTAGAACCACCATCTCTAAAATGTAAATAATCTGATTCATGTACCCCTTTTCCATTTATCACACCCTTTATATTGATACTATCTTGACTCACAAGCACCCGTCCTCCATCTCAGGATAATCATATGACCAAAATAAAGAACTTACTCATGAACAACATGTTTCAAAGCTTCTAAATTTCACCCAAGTCTGCAGGCTCTTTCAGTGCTATTTTAGCTTTTAATATAGGGTGAGTTAGTTTATTTGGTGAACAGTGGTATATATTACACTCAGTCAATCACTAGATAATTGAAAATCTTCCATAATCCAAGATGCGTGGCTAAGGCTGTAGAGTTTAACAAGAATTAGGGCAGAGCACTTATCTTCCAGATATATATTCTACTTAGAAAATTGAGATTTAAGGTATGAACTGCTAACTGACAATAGAATACTTTAATGGCAAAACAAGTCAGAAACGCAAATGTGTGAAGAGCTGTCAAGTGAGTGACATAAACAGATGCTAAGATATCAGAAAAAGATCATATTTCCGTAGGCTGGACTGGTACTAAAGGCCTTAAGAAGTCTGTGAGACTGACACTTAAAGTATGTGTAGAATTCAAATGAGCCACATCATGACAATTAAATAATGTGGATCAGAATAATTATTTTATCTCACAATTCTGCTTTTTTGAGGATAGAGTCCTTTATCCTTCTTCTACATACTACAAAATCCCGTATATTATTCCTTTCCTTTCATGCCTTCTTTCTCTCAGAATCTTTCAAACTATCTCATTTCTGAATCCCACAAATCTTTTTTCACCATGCCTTTTCTATTCCTTTTTTAGTTATAGTAATCACAGGAAATAAGATTTTACTTTTCAGACACATTGGAATTAGTTTGTGATCCAGGATTTGAAAAACATAACTACATTTGTATCAATCATTCCTTTGACACAAGCTTTAATTACCAAACACTGCAGTATGTAGGAGGTGGACATGCATGGTATTAGAATGGGTGACATGCCAACAAATAGGAAAGGAATTCTGCCACGGTATTGGATATTTTAAGCTTTATTAACTAAGAAACCATCATATATCCATCAGCAAGTGGAAAGCCAAGTAGATAAAATTTCAAAAAAATGATACAGACTACAGGAAAGTGAAAGAGTAAATACTATTAAAGTAGGCATGAAAATTTAATTGCCTCTGCTACTTTTCATACAGTTCTTCTCTACATCAGTAATAAAAGACTATAGCATAAATTATTACTCAATCCACTGAATGCCATAGTTTTCAACAAAACACATGCATGTTTCCTTTCTAAGACTCCTAAGTAAACAATTATTTTATTTTCCCAAATTATTGCTTACATGATACAAAAAGTGAAATGACTAAGCAAATAATCCTCTAGTTTAAATGTTGTATTGACCACAAAATTAAAAAAAGAGAAAGAGACCAAAATTATATTTTAATTCAAGTTAGAAGCTATTGTAAGCTCATCAGCCTAAGGCATATATATCACAGACATTAGCAAATACACAAAGCAAATAAATGAGTTAAATGCTACCCTATAGCAATTCTGCTGCTAACATTACAGTTTGAACTTACAATAACATTTATGATAATTCACTATATTCTGCTGACTTAAAACACTTAACTGGAAATGATGCAGAACATACCTTTCAGAGAAAAATGTATCAAATCTGGCTAGATTTTTGTTAGTGCAAACAAAAGGGCAGAAAGACGGGGCATGATGTTGGAAACAGTACTCTCTTCTTATGAAAAGATCTCTGAACGTTTTCAAATAAACAATATTAAAAAGAGATCAAGAGTTTGTGAATTTTCAAATGTCATTTTAAGTATTATCTACTGATATACCTTTTCATTGATACAATGAGTCCTTTAAGAATACCACACTTTGAAAGTGATTATATCTTCACAGTAACTTTGTGAGGTCAGCCTCCAAGTTTCTCAAAGAACAGTAACTCACAAAGTATATATGGGACTAGCTAAAGTCTAGTCCCATATACACTAGTCTAGTCCCCAAATAAGATGCTAGAAAACACTAGGCTAATTAGATAAAGAGCATTTATTCTCTGTTTCAGCATCTAATTCTTGTCATCTTTAGAAATTATACTTGTCCTCCAACATTATTACAGTAGGTTGGATAATGATGATTTTTATATCAACTTTATTATGTATGCAATATCAATAATTTAAAATGAAAGAGATTCATAAGATAAATTGGTAACAAAAAAACATCAAAGAGTATTTTAATTTAATTAGGAAAAATTAATGAGGAGCTTCAGTAATTGTATTAAGAGAATCCACATGGTTTGGCCTTTCTGGAAAGCTATTTGCTAATAGATATCAAGAACATCATTAGTGCATATATCCTTTGACTCAGTAATTCCACTTTATGACTCTATATTAATGAAGCAATCAGAGACACAAGCAAGACTTATAAATTTCTGCCAAAGCATAGCTTATGCTAGTGAAAAGGTGAGGACAATTCGGCCATACAAATTGGAGTACCAAAAAGATTAATTATTTATGACCATTAAAATTATGTTTTCAAAAAAATTTTAGTAACACTGAAATATGTCAAGGATAGAACTTTACATGAAAAATAAGGGTAATATACAAAAAAACATAAATCACAAAAAATTATATGTATATGTGTATACATATAAAACATGATTTGGTATGATGTTTACTTAAGGTTGGGGGATGAAGAGATGGAATGGGGGGGGACCAGTACAATTAATGGGCTTCCCTGGTGGCTCACATGGTAAAGAATCTGTTTGCAATGCAGGAGACCAAGGTTTGATCCTTTGGCTGGGAAGATTCTCCTGGAGAAGGAGATGGCAACCCACTCTTGGGAGTTGCCTTGGGAGTTCTCTTGCCTGGGAAATCCCATGAACAGAGGAGCCTGGCAGGCTACAGTCCATGGAGTCTCAGAGTTGGATATGACTGAACAGACTGGTTCCAAATAGGAAAAGGAGTACGTTANCAGGAGGAGAAGGGGATGACAGAGGATGAGATGGCTGGATGGCATCACCGACTCGATGGACATGAGTTTGAGTAAACTCCAGGAGTTGGTGATGGACAGGGAAGCCTGGCGTACTGCGATTCATGGCGTCGCAGAGTCAGACATGACTGAGTGACTGAACTGAACTGAACTGAGCAACTAACACACACACAGATTGTATAACTAATACAATATTTTGCATGAAGTACAAAATAAAAAAGATCACTGTGAAGAATTATTCCAATTATATATCTATATTTATATCATTTATGGGCTTCCCTTGTGGCTCAGCTGGTAAAGAATTTGCCTGCAATGTGGGAGACCCCAGTTCAATTCCTGGGTCAGGAAGATCCCCTGGAGAAGGGAATGCTACCCACTCCAGTCTTCTGGCCTGGAGAATTCCATGGACTGTATAGTCCATGGGGTTGTAGACTCGGACACGACTGAGTGACTTTCACTTATAGTATCTATATCTAAACTATACCTATATCTCTATGCCTGGGAGGAAAGGGAAGAAAGTTTTATTTTAGAACATGAATTTTAATTCATTTAAGTTTATATTTTCCCCAACTTTTATACAGAAGTCTCTGTAACAGTGACAGAAGGGGAGTATTTATCATTATTTCTATGCCTCTGAATTTCTGAACTGTTATCATGAGAATGTATGACCTGGAAAACCAAAACACTAGAGAAATAATATAATAACTTTTCATATGATAAACAGTTGGCATGTTTTGCATATTATTTATATATTATGTGATATTACAAGATAAAAGTGTCAAGGATTAGTACTTGCCTGATATAAAAGTATTAATAAAACAAAGTTTAGAAGAAATCCTGTACATAAACAATTACAATTAAAATAAATAATAATCACTTATGATTAAATAAATATTAGTCAATAGTCAATTATTTATCTTAACTCTAATTATTTATATATAGTCAATAAAATTTAGGAGATGTACAAGTAATTTTTGGAAAAATAAGTGAATACCATACTGGGAGAATCTTTTTTTGATGTTAGATGTTACTTGAAGAATCTTTTACTGATGTTAGAATTAGATTAAGTAATCTGTCTCAGAGGCATTAAGGTGGCTCAGAGGACAATGGAAAAAAAAAAACTGATCGTGCAGTTAATCTCATCAGAAATGATCCAGTATGGTAAAAATTCGGTTGATCCCAAACTGGGTGGCTTTAAATTGGCATATTTAGACTGTGGAACTAGTTTAAGATTGGGATTAAGAATACAGTGATGCTGTATAAGAATACAGTGATTGTGCCACCTGGTGGTCAGTGTGATACAAATCAGACGTCTTCACGTATTATGTTTTTATGTCACAATTTTGAATTGGGCCTAAAATTGTGAAGCAATGTTGATACTAAATAAATCCATGGATAAAATGAAATTTATGGCAAAGAAAAGTATATTGTGTGATTTGG